CAAATTAATCACGTGATTGTGATGTTAGATAATACAGTAACAGCTGCAAGTCAGTTGGTGGGTTTTGTTACACAATAAGATATACGTTTTTTTGAATCAACCAAAACGCGCAAGTTTTATTACTGTCGTTCTAATGATAGTTGTCTTGGCTGTAGTAAAACAAGCATCAACCAATCAGAAGCCAAGCTTTCTTGTCGCACAGAGAAGAGTTTCTTAGAACTTGTATGTGGTAAAAATAAGAGTACACATTTAGTAGAAAATCCTTAGTTATACGAAGTCCATGCTTCATCTTAGGTGTTACTGATTAAAATGCTGTCTTTGTCAAACAGTTTCTCTGTATTTATTCACCGTGAGTAACTTACAGCCATCTTCTGTAGCTGGAAAACAGTCTCGCGGGAGAGTAAGTGGAACAGGGGTTTTGGATGTCAGAATCCCAGTCTTTCTGGGAAGTCAGACTTCTGCCAGTTGGTCTCGAGACCATTTGGCGCATCATATCATATAGCTAGTGAAAACTATACAGAATGAAACCTACTTTATTTCTCTACACGGATAAAACGACCCCCCCTTTTTTTTTTAGTTTTGATATTATTATGTTCGTAAACTATGATAAAACCCGTTTTGAAATACAGAGTTTATTGCGTATATACATACAGCGTAGAATCAACAGATCATTGTCATTTTCTTAAGCTGTGCATCAAACTAAAAATAAAATAGTTATATCTACTAATACTCATAAATTATAGCAACGACTGAGCATGCGCAGTATAAACGGGTAGTATTTCTTTCAGTCCAGTCATGCAACTGTATTTCAATAAATGCCGAGATATATATATATACTAGTTTTTGAGATATTCCCTTCTCTTTACAACACTCTTATTACAATGCAGAAAGATGAAAAGATAAAACTTACTACTGTGTTAGCGAAGATTATCTGCTTTGCCTTTAAGTCGATGTATGAAAAAGTTTAATAAACTAGAATCGTCTGCGTAGGAAATAAAACAAAAGATAAGTTCCATATCTTTCCAATGGTTCGTAGACCCTATCTAGAGGTCCCTAGGTGAAACAACGGTGACTCACAAAGCTAAAATCCGAGATTTGATTCCTCGCGTTGGGCACAGATAGATATTCCAATGTGGCTTTGCTCAACAAAATCCTAACTAGAGAATGTAAACATCTTACATAATAATAACCGAGAGTTTATTAAAAGGGGAGCGTCACCCTCAAGAAATTCATCCCTCATAAGATGTCGAATTACTCTTGTTTATCGCCTTAGCTACAAAAATTGAAATACAGTTTTACAATAAAAACGTAGACAGTACGTAAGCTTTTCTATAAAGAAGAGCCAGGTTGGGATCCAGGGTCACAATCACCCAGAAACAGTCTTTCTTCTCTTCATTAGTATATAGGTGATAGTATAAAGCTAGTGGCTCCCAATTTTCTTGTCATGGAGCCCCCATACATTCTCTACACCCCCCTCCCTTACCATACGTGTCTTCAGTATATGACTCACAGTGTAAAAGTGTTTGTTTGAAGTTATGCACAAAGCTACACAATGGGCTATCTGTGCTCTGCCCACCACGGGTATCGAAACCCGGTTTCTAGCGTTGTAAGTCCACAGACATGCCGCTGTGCCACTGGGGGGGGGGCGTGTAATAGTGAACAGCACTGACTAAAATAGTCTTACCGTACAGGGAGCCAGCCCTGGCGGACACCCGTCATATTTGGCGCATCCCAGAGACTGGCTAAGCTGTGCTAACTATGACAAATGAGTGACTCGGTTTGTTTTAGAAAAATGATAAAAAACGCCAACTTGTGTAGCAAATACCAGACCGAGACTTTGGAGTGATTTACTTGGTTACATGAAATCATCAAGTAACGTACACAGTTATGAAATTCAACTTGTAATTGTTTTATTTAATTAACTAGCTGAATCATCTAAAATCAATAATAGTAATAATTCTAACATAATGAATAATTTCTGGTTTCTATGAGTTTCGTGATTTTATGATCTGATAACGCATAGTTATAGATCTACTGGAACTTGACTATTTTCTAATATCTTCATAAATTGTTTGTTGGGATTCATAATGTCCATCGGGTGCTCTGTAAATTATATTTACTGGATATATAACAGTATGGTTGTTATTATGTAAGAAACTTGGAATTTCTTATCTGAACAGTACCTTATGTGAACGTGGGCTAAACTGTCAGGTAAGAGACCACTAGGGTTTAGTTATAGCCACACAGGCTTTGTCCGGCTCTTTAAACTAAATAACAGAATTGATTGTCACTTCTATAACGTGCCCACAGCTGAAAGGGCCGAGCGTGTATGTTAGTATCATGTCTCGAACCACAGATTTCTCGATTCGCAACCTGAGATGCTACCTATCTCCCGTAGCCTATATCTATGTCTTGTTTTTTTTTTTCAACTGTCGTCAGCATATATTAGATATTTCTTCTATGGCGCTTTAATCAGCTTAAATATGATAGAAATATTTCATTTAAAAATTACAAATACGTGGATTATGATGTTATTATATCCGATTTTTTATTTCATTTAATTTGGGATGTGGGTCCGGCATAGCCAGGTGATTAGGGCGTTTGACTCGAAATCTAAGGGGCGCTAGTTCGAATCCCCGTCCCATCAAATATACTCGCCCTTTCAGCCGTGGGGGCGTTATAATGTGATGGTCAATCCCATTATTCGTTGGTAAAAAAAGGAGTCCAAGAGTTGGCGGTGAGTGGTGATGACTAGCTGCCTTCCCTCTAGTCTTACACTGCTAAATTATGGACGGCTAGCACAGATAGCCCTGGTGTAGCTTTGCGCGAAATTCAAACCAAAATCAATTTCAGATGTGAAAGCTCGAGACAGATAAAGCCTCCTCTAAACGGTGCATTTGGAGAACACATTATAATAATATTCCAAACGAAGCTCTAATAAAAAAAGTTAATTTGTTTAAATTGATATTATCTCACACTATTAAAAGGTACATTTTTTATTCGGTGTCTTCATGATGATAAAGACACAACATATGAAACACGGCAAGCTTTGTTATTTTCCGTAATCAGGGCGGCATGGCCCGGTGGTTAGGTCGCTCGATTCGCACTCTAGGGGTCGCGGGTTTGAATCCCGTCACCGAACATGCTCATCCTTTCAGCTGGGTGCGTTATAAAGTGATGGTCAATCTCACTATTCGTTGGTAGAGAGTAGCCCAAGAGTTGGCGGTGTTGACTAGCTGCTTTCCTTCTTGTCTTATCACTTCAAAATTAGGGACTGCTAGCGCAGATAACCCTCGAGTAGCTCTGTGCGAAATTTAACAAACAAACAAGCTGTAATTAGGGTGAATTTGTTTACAAAAAGCATCATACTCCGGAGAAAACATGCTAATAAAACAAATTTTTAACCTAATTTCAAACATTTTCGGCAAGAAATGTTACCAGGCAACGCCTGTAGGCGATTTAAGAGAAGCATAAATATCATATTCCATTATTTTTGTGTTACTTCGTCAAATGCTTTGTTAGATAAAGCTGGGTTATTTTCATATTGAAAACACTAAGTTTTCTTTTCGTATCTTCTTAGTATTAATTTTCGAACAAGCTTGCACGTGTCATCATCATGTCTTTATTGATCTCGATAGGTTGATGAAAAATATCACGAATTAATTTTTCTTTTAGTGCAGTACTGTAGTTAACACGAAATATAGCATTGCATTAACAGCGACATCTGTTTTCCGAAGAGTAAACTACAAATGCTTCTTCGGTATTTTAAAACGACTTATGATTTGTTGTTGTTGTTGTTTTTTGGGAAGATTTACTTTTTATCCTCGAATAAAAATATTTGTAATTGACGTTTTAGAATCTTATAAGGTTTAAAATATACATGGTGAGATTGAAAACTCAAATCTTTGAGTTTAGAAGAAAGCTAAACTAGTAACACAGCGCTCGTACATTGAAAGTACAAAAATCATTTAAAGTTGTTCTATTGAATAAGGTAAACAAATAATAATAATTTCTACAGAGGATATAGTTCATGATCACACGACGACTTTCAAATTATCTAACGTCTTCTTTTCAAACGAAAACAAAAAAACGTTTATGGTTGAAAAGCAGCTGAAGTGGGTCTGATGGCTTCCTTATGTTAGAACGAGTGTCGTTAACGGTCCACAAAAGTTTGTTCACACAGTGACTCACAGTGTTGTTCTAGATTAAGAGTTAGTAATGATTACTAAAAGTTGAGTATTATTGGCCAAAGTTCCAGTAGGTTTCAATAAAAGAACAGACTCGCTGAACTCCTTCAGAGACTCTCGTCGTGTATGGTGTGAAGTTAAATCTCCAAGACTATCATTTTATCAGCTAGTAAGCTTCAGCAACTGAATAAATTGACTACATCAAGACGAAGACTGATAACGATGAGCAGAGAAAACCCTCTTTACACAGTGGCTATATTGCTGCTTTTTTTGGTATGTATTGGTTAACTGGGTTATTACCCTCCTTTTTTTTCTAAACTTAGTTCAAAATTTAACACTATCGTAAACATAAAAATTAATTGTTACTCATGGAATATTATACTTTTCAAGCTAGATCTTCTCCTTTTTGTGGACGTATAGTTGCTTCTAATAGCAGTTTCAAAGTAAATCGTTAATACTAAAAAAACGGTGAACTGTTTATAATACTTTTAGTTAAGTATGAACTACGGCAGAATATGCCCAATAATTGATGGTGGGCGCTGTTGACCGGATATCTTCCCTCTAGGTCTATCAGATAAAAAAAAAAGGAACGTCTATGTGTGGATGGTTCTTGTGTATAGCTTTGTAAGATATTCTGAAACAAACAAACAATCTAATCGTTACATTTAATCAGAACTTACTACGACACATTTTACAGGCCCGATGCTACATAGACATGAATTCAGAATGAACTGTGAATGACAAACTGCTTTATATATATAATTAATTATCAAAATAATTATATAATTATTGGTTGCATAAAAAATTAGATAATTAGACGATGAATGAATTAAATAACATTAAGTTCTTGATTTTTGTTACAGTGTAACATAGTGAGAAATTATAGAAATAGAATCCAAAGATGACGAGAACTTTATCTGCTGTAAAAAAAAAAAAAAAAAGACAATGTCAACATCTCAGTACTTTTTAGTCTTTAATCTACGAATATTTACTGTAGTTTTATGTCACCACTAAACTCCAAAACAAGTTATTTACATTTCGTTTGTTTTTCTATAAATAGAGATCAAGGTTAGATAGTTATAGAATTTGACAAAGTGATAGGTTACGAACACCTCATACGTGTTATTGTTTCCTAGCCATCTCCGACTAAAACTTACACAAACAGGTTAGTTTATTATTGTTTAAAGTTTCCTTTTTTACAGTATGTAATCTCACGCGTCATTAATATAGGGTGTTCTTCATCCATGGACGTATGTTTATGGGAACGACAATGGGCAAGTTTCGAGTCAGCTTCAGAACGAAGCAACTCAGAAAGCAAGACTCCTTGGATCTTACACTCGGGAAATTCAGCTAAGTTGCCAGAGTGAACCAGGTTGCAGATGGAGATGCGCCAGATTCAACCGATGCCTTTGTGTTTGTGGTGCGAAACTGAGATTGAATAACATCATCCAGAGTGGACAATCTCGCCAAACTAAAATGTGAAGAGCCTGGCAACATCCTATTCATTTATATATTTATGTCACTAACAAATTTCGGTTAAGCACCGTTTAAAACTAACACCATTTAATGAAAGCCAGTCATCCTATTGGATAAATAAACTTTTTATATGTATATAAATAACGTTTTCACTTCCATACGAATCTTGGGTCACTTTAACACTTTTTTTCTTTATCTTTTCAGCTCATTGTCTTTTATGTCTTTAGCTCAATATAAGGATTTTTATCTATATTTTTGTATTTGATTCTGAACATTAAATAAATGTTATATTTATATCCAATCCACTTTGAAGTTTTTTTTTTTTATGGCAACGTTTCTCCCATGGAAAAACAAGATAGAAATGGTTCTTACGTACAGAACATCACACGAAATAATGTTTGGGTTACAATTTCCCGAATGTATTTTAGTTTATTTGAGCTGTGTTTAAAATCTATATAAAACTACACTTATTACGTCTACTATTGAAACACCCTACACAGTATGTGACGTAGAAGCTCGTGGGAAACACCCAACACAGTTTGTGACGTAAAGCTCGTGAGAAACACCCAACACAGTATGTGACGTAGAAGCTCGTGGGAGATCTTTTTTTATTAAATCTTTATTGTTCTATTAAACTAGTACTTATAACATGTGACTTGAGAGCTAATTATATTCGACAGAGCAATGTAAACTTTATTCAATTAATTCTAGAAATACTCAATAGCAGCACTTACTTAACCTTATCTTGTGTAAATACAACCAAAGTCACCCTTTAACTCTATCCAACCAATGTGATACCGTTCATGTAATTACTCAGATATAATTGACACTGATATGTAACGGCACTTATTCGTTCAGATGTGATAAACAATACTACCTAAAAACAGTATTTTATCAATCAGATTACTAGCGTCACGATAATATAAACCATTATGAAACACTACATTATTAACACTACCAAAAAACAGTACTTTATCAATCAGATTACTAGCGTCACGATAATATAAACCATTATGAAACACTACATAATTAACACTACCAAAAACAGTATTTTATCAATCAGATTACTAACGTCACGATAATATACACCATTATGAAACACTACATAAGATAAAATACTGTTTTTGGTAGTGTTAATAATGTAGTGTTTCATAATGATTTATATTATCGTGACGTTAGTAATCTGATTGATAAAGTACTGTTTTTTGGTAGTGTTAAAATCAGATTACTAACGTCACGATAATATAAACCATTATGAAACA